AAAAGAGAGAGTTCTATTATGTTAAGCAGGACCTAGTAGGCAGGATACGAAACTATAAAGAGGCAGGATTTAGTGGAGAAGACACTTCGAGTGGAAACACTACTGTGACTCTGTTGCAGCTATGGTTGCCGTAGATAATATTATGTGGTTGCAATGCAAAATATGACCACAGCCACCACTTTTCTTCATTGAACAGTTAGGCAAAGCAGCTCTCTTGAGTCGCACGCCTTTTCTGCTAATTTATGAAGAATTCAGGTGAGTCTAACCATTCTGGTTTTTGTTCTTTTGTCATTTTTTTGGTAACTTACCTCAGCTGCTGATTGTTTTGAATATATGTTTAAGATGAACAATTTAAGCTACTGCAGTTTCGTTGCCATTTTGTAGATCTGATAGCTACATTGTTACATGTATGTACAATGATGAATACTTGTATGTGGCAGTAAAATTAGCTTTACTATTTTTGTTATTTTAACTCTTAAATGATTTTGGAATGACTGTCCTGAGGTGTCCAATGTATTTTCTACATTTGTTGATATCCACTGTCTCCCAAAACTCGATTATCCCCAAAACAAACTCCTGTTTTGTCTTTGGTTTCACATCTTGTCTTAAGTATTCCTTCAACTCGTGCCATAAGTTCTCTATGGGATTGATATCTGGCGATTCAGGAGGGGTATGCAACCAATTGGTGTTGTTTTTCCTCGAGCCATGTCCCCATTCTTTTGCACATGTGTTTGGGGTCATTATCTTGCATAAACTGTAAATTACTGTCAACATTCTCCATGTAAGGATTACTTCCTTCAGTACTTCAATTAATCCCACTCCAGTCATGATACTTTCATGAATTACAATTGGAGTTTTTCCTTGACACGATATACCTGCCCATATATAAACTTTACATGGGTCCTTTGCCCAATTTTTCAAATGAATTTTTAAATAAAGCTTAGTACAAACTGCAAGCACTCACCTTGGCTTGTGTCTTGTGGGCTCCCCCTTCTTTTTGCAGCAAAACCTACGACGGCATTCAAGCTGAATACTTGATTCATCAGTAAAGAGAACATCATCAAATCCATTCATCTCATCATCCCTTTTATTGTCTCTTGCCCACTGAAGTCGCTTTCCCTTATTCACCTATTATTATTATTATTATTATTATTATTACCAAAATTGATAATAAATAGAGAGCTAGTAAGAGTTTATATTACTGAAGGTACATGAGTACTGGTAATAAATACCATTATTGACACAAAAACCACTGACACATTACACACAGAGAGTTACATGTACATGTACATACATACACATAGTAACATACCTCCCTAATGATTTGGCAGTCAGCGCTGCCTCTAAAAGTCCAACCTAATTTACGCCTCAATTTCATAATAGTTTTTAATAAGACTGGGTGTCCGCTATCCACCAGAATTTTTTGGAGTTGGACAGCTGTCGTCTCATCACCTTACTGTTTCTGCTCCTCTACTATTCTTAATATGTCATTTGTTATTTCAGAAGGCCGACCAGAACCTCATAACTTAGAAGTTAAAATACAGTTAATATCAACTTAATACCTGAATGATGAGATATAGTACCAGTTTCTTCTAACATCTTTAGAAGTCTGTACACGCCACTCACCTTTACATCAAGGCCTTCCTCTCTCAATCATTGCACTATTGTGGTTGACTTAAAACCTAATGCTGCATCAGTGAAGACAAGCACGTATCAAATAACATATTTTTTAATATTAAAATTTGAAAAATAGATAATAGCAATATACAATGTTATTAAGCTCAAAATAATTATATTAAATAAAATTGATTTGACTGAAGGAGTACAGCCAACTGGTGGAAGTATCCTCGGAAATAAGACGTGGTCAAAGTCCAGAAAACTTAGAAACTAAATAATGATATTAATTTAATTTAATATTTAAAAAATTTTAAATAGAAAACATTATTATTAAAATGCTTTGAGGTGCACTAGACATGCCAAGAAAGACAAACAATAACTGAGTTAAATTCTAACTGGAATAAGCAGCACTGACGGGCCAGTGGTAGGCTGATAACTAATGTACATGTAATTCACAATCGGGTATTCTGCAACTCACAATGAAGGTGTCAGATTCTTTGTATGTGCTATAGACCATCTTTTATGCTTCACAGCAAGATAGCAAGAGATTAAATGTCAAACCTACCAAACCACATAAGATGAAAGAGAAAAAGGGGTCCAGTCACGCAGGCGTAGTACGGTTTTAATATGAATTCGCTTCGTATGTGCATGCACATACAAAGCAAAGAAACAAGGTACTTCTCTGTGCAGAAATTATGGTGGTACTTCCTACGTAATTTGAGCTAACTGCAGTTTGCTTCTCTGCGCTACTAGCTTTTTTCGCCCTGTACTGTACAATAACAGAGTTGAATGGATATCGGGATGGTGAGAAGCTTCCTGTAATAGTGTGCATCTTCCAAACTGTACGAAGTATTGCCAATCATATATGGCAGTACTGTGATGATAATATACCAGCAAAAGTATATGCTAGTATGAGCCTAAAAAGTATTAATGCCAATTAGTGTATGATTACTTTATATTACACATTATACTTAGTTCTCTATCTACTATATAATAAATTTGAGTTACGATTACAAGAATCAGCTATCATTGAGTTGAAATTCAGCATAAATCACATGACTTATACTATAATAATAATAGTAACAATAATAAATAAATATAATTTTGATACTTATTATAATAAATAATAATAATAATAATAAATAATACCTGACTGTAATTGATCACTCTTTGGTCAATCATACGACAGTATCACCAACATGTGTGTCCCAATAGCTGGTCCTATATCTATGCACAAAATGGCTGCTCTTCGTCCCCATCACCCATACCATATTTTATATATTAACACTAATTTGAAACACAATATAACTACCTAAAGTATTGAGCATAACTAGTATCATGTGATAGAGCCTCTAAATTATCCTCTTTCCCAACTAAATCAGCAAGTAGGACAGCTTTTCCAGCGCCTTCTTTTAATTCCTGAAGACCCTTTAACTCGATCAAGCCTAACTAGAACCAAAGATAGTAGACAGGAAAATGGATTGGAAACGCCTATAGTTGCGCCACTATAAGTGTGGGCACGTGCTTTTTTCTTCCTGTCTATGGCTGTACTCCCTGTGGTGAAAGAAGTAAATCTTGTATGAGTGATTTTTGTTTAGGTAGAAATGTAGTGTAGTTATTTTCCATAACTGTAAATGTGGTATCTTTGAAAATAAATATCTTTTTAAATTTTTATTCTTGGTCTTGTTCATTTGTGACCATAATTGACAAAAGGGCCCTTATGGCGGATTTTAAAATTGATAGTTATAATGGAAAATATCAACCTGTGAGTGCTTTGTTAGACAATCATTGTTTCTAAAAGTTTCATGGTAACTTTTTGCATCCTGTGGAGTAATTTTATGATAACTGGGGCTCAGGAAGTTGGATTTCTTAGGCTACAAAGACAAATTTCACTACCCGCCATAAGGTACCTTTTGTCAATTATGGTCACATTTGAATAAAATGTCCAGACTATTATTGAAATCATTTGGTTGTGTAATTATTTTTCATAATAAGGGCAAAGTTTCAATGAGAGTGTGGCATATAATGTCATGCCTTTATGAGTTTCATTGGAATATCACATTTAATTGATGAGAAAATTACAATTTCTTTGAAAAATATATAATAATAGCATATTTCAGCTTTGACTTTGTAATTAATTTACCAATACAGTAGCAAATAAAATATTAGTGACACTTTACAAACGTAGTCTTATCAGTGTGTTACTGGAATAATACACTTTCTATGATAGATAATGGGTTGTAAGCTGAAGTTTTATCGTATAAAGAACTCTGAGAGAAAAAGGCAAGCTGCAAAACTTAACGATGTTGGTCGTCCGCCAAAAAGAAAATGTAAGAGATCTGTCAACCTGAATTTTTTTGAAATCACTGCTATTGCCAGAGGGGTGGGTTAGTAATCTTAGCAAGGGTACACTCAGATTAGCAAAAATAGTCACTAAAGAGCCTCCTGTCATTACTCGTTCGCTCAGTTGTCACAAAATGGACCGTGGATTTTGCATATTCATGGAAAGAAGATTGATGAAACCAAATGTGCTGCATTGCGTTCCTTGCCTAACCCTACTGACAGTGGCGGAGCTGGGTCTTCAGTGATGGTAGAGCCTGTGAAGAGGGCGGAATTTTGGGCGAGCACCACGATTTTGGCCACACCCCCTTTTTACGGCTAAATGACGCCATTTTGTGCCATTTTCATCATCAAACACGTCATAATCACGCACAGTTTTAATGATAATTATTATTCATGATAATACGACGCCTATTAATTTACTCATTGTCAAGATAATATTATTGTCCTATTTTTGTCAACTCCTTCAAATTCTCTAATTGTGTCTTCCAAAAAATTGCTGTCACTTGTTAAGTCACGTTCAATGGTCAAAAGAGAGATGTCAGCAAGTCACTGGTCCGTCATAGTTGTTCTCAAATGTGTCTTTACTCTAGCTAAGGCTGAAAAAGATTGTTCACACTGGGCCATGCTGACAACAATGGTGAGTGCAAGCTTATAAATCTTAGTTAGTGTTGGAAAAGCAGACTTTAGTGGTAAGAGTTGATGGTAAACTTCTAAAACTGACTCTGGTCCTTTTTCATTTTTTGTAGAGCTCTTTTGGCAAGCAAACATTCAGTTGGGAGGAGTTCAACTTCATGATTGAGATTGTATTTCAGAGCCAAAGTGGAGAGCAATGCCGAATCTAGAAATTTAGAGGACAGAGGATTACAACCATCAAGTGATTTCATAATATCTAGGTTTGAGGCTGAAAAACGGCGATCAAACTCAGATAGCAAATGATCAATGACAGGAAAATATATATTGAGTTTAATACTCTGACCGCAGCTCAAAGAATCACGTCTTCCAGTTGAAACAAAGGTGATGGTATCTTCCATTCTCCTCGGTCATTTTCGTTGTCTACTATTTACTGTGTCTTCTTCAATGCCATTTAATGACGCAACATCACAAATGTACTTATATGTGTGGTCCCAGACACTGTCACTTCGAAAATCCTTCAAAGTGTGAGTAGTTGAAGAAACCAACCCAGCAGCATGCACTGAATCAACTGTTCTACTCTGAAGCTGATCTGATAAAGACTTGGTGATATTCATAAGTCTCTGAAAAATTATTAAACAAGCAAGAAACTTAAAGCTGTGAACTGGGTGAAGAAGACCTGCTGCTTCTATGGCTTTTGCTTTGTCTCTATCTTCACCGATGTTGTCCAAAGTAGCTATGATGCAGTCATAGGTACCAGCAATGACATCAAGGGTTAGAGAACAGCAGGCCCAACGTGTGTCTGACAGTCGTTTGAGTTCTTTAGTTGGTTTATTAGGATAAAGCTCCTTTTGCTTGTCAATGAAGACAACATGGGCTTTACTGGTGGACAGTAGAACATATAATGACTGAAGCAAGGAAAAGAACTCAGAAGCAAAAGAGTTGTTTTTCACACAGTCCACAAGGACCAGATTCAGGATATGTGCGTAACAATGCACATATATTGCATGTGGTGCTACTTGTCTCACACGTTGCTGCACTCCAGAACAATGACCGCTCATCACAGCAGCTCCATCATATCCCTGTGATACCATTAGCTGAGGGTCAAGGTTATAATTGCTCAGTGTATTAACAATATACTGAGTAAGAGATTCTGCATCAAGGCTAGCAGCTGGATAAAAGGTTAGAAATCGCTCTTTAATTGCAGCTGGTTTTGTATCACCATCTACATAACGGACTACGAATGAAATCTGCTCCTGTTTACTAAGATCTTTAGTTTCATCAACCATTAGTGAATAAAACCCTGCCTTCTGTATGGAAATGCAGATGTTCTTCCTTACCAGAGTAGCCATGACAGCAATGATGTTGTTCTGGATCATGTGGGATGTATATTTGGCATTCCTTGGACCATGAGAAAGCCTTTCATTCACAGCTGGGTCATGCTTACTCAGCAAATTTAAAATTTCCAAAAAATTACCTTTATTTAAGGAACTTTCTGTTTCGTCATGACCCCTGAAGCTTATTTCCTGCTTGCTACATAGCAGGAGGATTTCAGCAATACTCTTGATGTAATGCTTATTCTTTCTGATTTGTTCAGCTCGATTACTACCCAATTGCTCTGCCACTGATCCTCTGTCATGGGTCGTTTTAAACTGCTCCCAAGCCACCATACCTTGTTTATGGGAAAGAAAATTATTGTGGATGACCAGAATACCCTTTTGACCAGTGGCATGCTTCCAATCTCGGAAACCTGTAGTAGTAAAAGTCCTTTCTGGTCTGCTTAAGTGAATACTAGAAAAAGGCGACATGCATAGCAAAAAGCAGCATCCTTACTGACAGAGTACTCCAACCATGGATAGAGCTTAAACCAGTCTGGATAAAAAGAGCGAGCTTTCCCAGAAAAGTAGGTCACAGGAAATTTGATTTTAACTGGTTGACAAGGAGATGATGTGGATGAGGCTATATCATCTAGTTCCACTTGACTGCTGCCTGTACAGGTACTACCAGCTTCTTCACTAGTACCACTGGATCCTGGATGGCTTGAACTACGTTCCACTGACCCCTTAGTTGACTGAGTGCTCTCGTGAGTCTCATCTATAGATCTATGTTCAGGTATAAAAAAATATTTATTATTGTTGACACTAACCGGCTACTCTTTTCAGCTCTAGTAGGGTTTCTGGCACCCATGTAGTTAAGCAAGGACAGCTGTCTACTCATTTGCACTTTGTTTGGCACACAAGCACACACACTCTTGGTATAGATAATTGATTATGAATTTAATTAATACAGAAATGAATAATAATAAAAATAATGAATATGAATAATAATTTAAAATAATGAATATGAATAATTAAAAATAATGAACATGAATAATAATTAAAAATGATGAATATCATTAAAGTTCCACATTGATGCCCGGGCCCAGGCCCGTATAGGCCCGGGTTCAGCTCCGCCACTGCCTACTGATGAAGTTCAATTACTGTTAGTTCTTGTTGACAATCTAAATGTTTGTCCTGGTCATCCAGATGAAGAATATGTAAGTATGGTTAAATGCAAGAAGGGCAGCATTAAATCATACAATGGCAAAGTTGTTGCTAAATTAGATAATTATGCAAATGTACTTTTCGAAGGTGTGAGCTATGAGTCAAGAGTTAGGCTTGTAACATGTGAGCTACTCACATCAAAGACAACTCATTGCAATTTCTGTTTATCTGACAGATCTAACTTGCGGGCTATTTATAGCAATTTCAAAAAGGATTTTACTGCTTGGAAGGCTTCAAATTGTCGGCCCAATAGTAAGACTAATTAGAAGCATTTGGGAACTCCAGAGAAACATAAAAGACTCACTAATCTTCGAACTGAAGTAGCCTGTGCTAGGAATGAAGTCAAAAGATTACGTAAGCATATACAAGTTTCTATGGAGAAAAATGCAGTGGAAGTAGATGAAGACCTGGATGGTGACATGCATGCCATAATGACAGAGCATCAGAATGTAATTAATGAGACGTATGCTCCTGATTCATTTCATCGATTATTTTGGGAAGAGCAACTTAAAGCTCGATCCAAATAGAATTCCCGTTCAATGCGATGGCACCCAATGATGATACGCTGGTGTCTCAACATTAAGTTATTATCCCCTTGTGCCTACACTGCTGTTAGATCATCACGTCTATTGAAGTTACCATCAGAGCGTACATTAAGGGATTATACACATTGGGTGAAGGCAAAACCTGGCTTCCAATCTGAGGTGGATTGCCAGCTGACAGATGAAGCATTCTCTGTACCATTGGATCATGGCAATGGCAATCATCTTAGACAATATGTTTGTTTGGTTTTTGATGAGGTTAAAATTGAGGAAGGCTTGATTTATGACAAAGAGTGTGGTACATTGATTGGTTTTGTGGAACTCGATGATATATCAACACATTAAAACTTATCTGAGAAACGTCAAATAGCAACGCATATGTTGTTAGGAGGCTGTCTTCTTCTCTACAATTTCCATATGCCCAATTCCGTAGCTGCAATCTTTCAGGAGGTACACTATACCCAATAGTATGGGAATGCATTGCACATTTGGAGATACTCGGTTTTAAAGTTCTTGCAGTCACTGCTGATGGGGCCAGTCCTAATCGTAGATTTTTTCAGCTGAATTCAGGCATCTGCAAAACCAAGTTCACATATAAAACCACCAATACATACTCAAAGGAAAGCCGTCCATTGTTTTTTGTCAGTGATGTGCCTCATTTGTTGAAAACGATAAGAAATAGTTGGGCTAATTCTGGAAGTCATGCTTACAGTAAAAGTTTACAGGTTTGTATAGTATTGCTCTCAATAATATTTTGAAATTTTTATTTCAGATCAACGGAGAAGCAATTAAATGAAATATTTTGGATACACTTTTGAAGCAACATTCCCAATTGGTTCCTGGTGGAGATTTGACAATTTTACCGAAATTGAAAGCAGAACATATTACTTTAACTTCATATTCAAAAATGAGAGTAGATCTGGCAGCCCAAGTAAGCACTGTTAGACATACATCTGTCAGTACATTTTTACGGTTATCATAGGTTTTAAGTTGTACTGTTGCAGCAGCTATAGAAAGAGATTTTCCTCATTTAAAGGAGACAGTCAGATTTATTCGAATGTATGATCAATTTTTTGATATAATGAATGTGTGGTCAACTAAAGAGTCCATTTATAAACAGAAACCAGACAAAAGACCATATACACCGACTTCGGATGATCATCATAGCTGGCTAGAGGTATTTCAACTGTTATTGTTTTTGCATTTGCCTATTATAAGATAAATTAAATCAAAAGCATGAGCACTTACTGTTTAATTAATAGAAACTCATTGTCTTAGCCCACCATTTTCTTTATTCTATTGATACCGCCACTTAGGTGTGGTTTCCTTCACTTATATAAGCACATCCTTTTATTTATGTATAGTGGCTTACTTCAGAATTCTTACCCTACCTTAAAGAGTGGGAAGAGTATGTCAAATCCTGCACTGATAAAACAGCAAGGGAGCGTAAGAGAATGTGTATTGCAAGAGAAACAATCAAAGGGCTGGGAATAACAGGTAAGAGCACAATTTGTTACTGTAAGTTTACTAGTTTTATTATTCACAGTTTTGTTGAGTTAGTAGAATACATATTTTCAAACATAGGTGTCAAAGTATTTTTTAGTGAAAGATTAACACAGGATGTAGTTGAAGCTTTTTTTGGAAGACAAAGAATGAGAGGTTATGCCACCAACCCTACTGTACAATCATTTTTACAAGGCACAGTGTCATTAAGAGCTCAGCGTTCGCTGGACTCAAACCTGTAAGAGGTAACTGTAAAAGGGGAATAGCATACACTGATCCAGAAGATGATGACACTCCTTTGCCTAAACGACCTAGGAAAGGTTTCATATGATGACATCATCAATTTTCAATTATTGCTTTGTTTACATTTTTGATTTCACATATTAACATTAGAACTTGATATTATTGTGAGTTTACATTACTGATTGTCACTTTTACATTTTAGTTCCTTTCTTAATGATTTGGTTCCTTTTATTGTTTGCTTCACTCTCTTGTACTCTTCTACATACATACCTGCTAAAGCAAACCCTCTAATTGGTAACGTAGTAGCGCTACTAAGTAGGATTCACCCCCAAACAAAATGGCTGCAACGACTTTTGCAGCCTTGCTATACCGGGAAAACGAGCTCCTATGCTTACCAGACTTTATAGAGTACCTTATCTTGACCAGAGGACTCCAATGGTACAACTGGCGTGGCTCTAGACCTTGTCTAAGTGAAAAGTCAAAAATTGGCGAACGGGCCGTTTTGTTCAGCCACCTTTTTTCATCTTCATCATCATCTTCATCAAGTCCTGTCAATCCAGTTGTCGGTGTGTATCTCAGTATCAGTTGGTGCTACAAGAATAATTCTTACACCAATCTACTCCAACAGTCTATGTGCAGGTCCATGTCCCATCAGATCATTCTTCAAGTAAGGAAAAAGTGATACTGTGACTGCTGGATCGAGCCAACTTAGCTACATGCTGCCATTTTGTTAATTAAAGAAGCTTGCCATGTGCTCCAAAATTTGGGTGTGGTTGCGCATGCTCAGATCTGCAGCTCTTGAAGAAGCAAGTTATTTTTTTACCAAGCTTACTGCAATACTTTAGTGGAGGTTTCAAGCTAAATGAAGGTATTGATTTTACATGTTACTGTTTTATCAAGTGTGTTATTTTATTTTATTTTAAAAAACAAACAAATAATTAATGTTATGACTTATGATCACAGCCTGGAAGAACAGGACTTGTGTCAAGACTAGTATTAGTTTCACTTGTCATCAGGATAGTTGATATACCTTCAGCATGTCTATTCAATTCTGTCTCTCATAAATGTTATAACAATGATAATAATAATAAAGAAAATTATTATTGTTTGTGTAATTGCAAACTAAAGAAATGCTATAAGTATAATTTTAAAAATCAGCACAAACAAGAACAAAAAAAAACGAGATGAAGTAGGATTCCGAATGACCAACAAATATACGAAATATTATAAAAAATCAACACAAACAAGAACATAAAAAATTTTAAAAAACAAGATGAATTAGGATTCCAAACGACCAACAAAAACACGAAATATTATTAAAAAATCAACACAAACAAGGACATAAAAATTAAAAAAACCGAAATGAAGTAGGATTCCGAACTACCAACGAAAATACGAAATATTATTTAAAAATCAACACAAACAAGATCATAAAAAAATTTAAAAAAACAAGACGAAGTAGGATTCCGATCGACAAACGAAAATACGAAATATTATTAAAAAATCAACACGAACAAGAACATAAAAAAAAAAAACAAGATGAAGTAGGATTCCGAACGACCAACGAAAATACGAAGTATTATAAAAAATCAACACAAACAAGAACATAAAAAATTTAAAAAAAAAGATGAAGTAGGATTCCGAACGACCAACAAAAATATGAAATGAAAATCCTACTCGTGACGCAAATTCTACTTTACATTGCAAGGTGATCCATAATTCTTACATAAAAACATTAAAAGTACAATGTAGAGTAGAATTTGTGTCCTGAGAGGGATTTTCATTTTGTATTTTCGTTAATTGTTCAGAATCCTACTTCATCTTGTTTTTTTTAATATT